TATTAGTGGTTTTATATCTTTTAGGGTCTGGATAAAAATTCTTCAGAGCAAGGGGGGAAAACCTGAGGAAATTTGCTATAAATGTAATTGCTTTATGCTGGCTTAAATGTGAAGATTTGTCAGGTATTCATTTTTTTCATATGTAATTTAATTCCATCAAAGTTTTTTTTTTTTTTTTTTTTTTTTTTTTTTTTTTTTTTTTTATATAATAATGTCACAAAGCAATTTATTACATCAACAACTTCACCTTTTCTGGGAGGGTGCATTTGCTACCCCAAATTGTAATGCTATTAAACAATCAAATTAGTGAAAACAACCACTGTTTGCAGCTATTCTGCTTAGCTTTAATTGCCATCTCTAATTCCTCACTGGCAGTCTTTTCCAGCCATTCTAGTCTCTTGGCCAAGACTGATGTCAGACGGATGGTCTCTAATTAGTGTTTTTAATATTGTCACAGCATGCGTTTTTTTTCCATCATCTGGAACTTTGCCAGTGTTCCAAGAATTATCAAATATCAGTATTAATGCTTCTGAGTTTCCACAGAATCACAGCATGACTGAGGTTGGAAAGGACCTCTGGAAGCCACCTGCTCCAATTTTCCTGCTCAAGCATGGCCACCTAGAGCCTGTTGCCCTGGACCATGTTCAGATGTCTTCTGAAGATCTCAAAAGAGGGAGACCCCACAACCTCTTTGGGTAGCCTGTGCCAGTGCTTAGTCATCTGCACAGTAAAATGCTTCTTGGTGTTCGGTGTTCAGACTGAAACTGCAAATTTGCGCTCATTGCCTCTTCTCCTGTCACTGGGCACCACTGTAAAGAGCATGCCTCCATCCTCTTTATGCCCTCTCTTCAGGTACTTGTACATATTGATAAGATCCCCCTAAGTCTTTGCTTCCCTAGGCTGAACTGTTCCAGCTCTCTCACCCTTTCCTCATATATGAGATGTTCCAGTTCCTTAATCACTTTGATGACCCTCTGCTAGACTGAAGATGAAATAGGTGACATGATCTTGAACATCATCAATAAGCAAATGCTTCATTGTTATGCTTCCCATTTTAAACATAAATACATGCTACTATTACTGGGATGGCTCTGTGCTTGAGCAATTATAGAATAGGTCTGCCTTTTTAGAATAATTACCTTGCGGTAAATCTGAGCAGAAAAGAGGTAATGAGGAAGCTAGTAGGTATCCATCTTGGAGAAGCCACAGTGCAGTCTCCTCTGATTAAAGGTTTACACTTGCTCTTGAACAACTTTATCTTTGACTTATGAGAGTCCCTGCAATCATCCAAAATCCTGAGCACCGATGACTAACACTTTCCAGGAATTCCCATGGGCCAGGAGGCTTTTCTTACTCTGTGAAGTAATGACCTGGCTTCAGTTACTCATGTCTTTGTTACACCTTCTGAGGTATAATGAGGCATTTTAAATGTGCAAGTAAACCTTAAGTATTCAGGAAAATCTAGTTATTGCAGCATGGCACTTTTCAGCAACACAGCTTACCACAGACACTTCAGATCTATTGTTCCTTCCATAGTCCCCCTCTCTAAGGGGAAACAAACAAACACACACCTAAGGCCACCGTCTTCTCTCTGAGTGCTTGCTGACTAGAGACAGGAAAATCCAAGGGATCAACTAACAATGATGAAAAATGAGACCAAGAATTTTATTCCTCAGAAGCAATGAAGTTGAATTCAAAAAAGTTATTGCCTTTCTTCTCATGCTGTGTGAGGAGTGATCTTCCAAGAAGGACACAGTAATAAACTAGGCAAGTGTGAGAGGAGGTGTAGCAGCTAATAAATAACTGGTGGAACTGCTGTATCTTAGATGGCCTGAGTTTTCAGCTTTCCCTCATATAACTCTACCAACTTAACTGGGAACTTTCACTCATGAAAGGACAATTAGGTGCATTATTATTCAGATCTCTTTCATACCTTGTAACATACAATTATCAAAGGGAAAATTGTGGCTCTTCCATTTAAGAGTAATTGCTACAACAAATTCAGTTATGTATTGCAAGGCAGAACTTGACTTACAAAAATCTTAAACTTGCCCTCTAAGAACTTCATAATGGTGTCAGTAGCAATAATAAAAACTATGATTTGTGCATCTTCTCAGCATTACATTTAACACATGGATAGTATCAAATACAAACAGTTCATTTTGTTTGTTATACTTTCATTATAAAATCTAATTTTTATTTATTTTTTTTTAAACACACCTATATTTATTTATCATACCCAGAGACTAATTTAAGTCCTGACATTGTTGCTCTGTGTGCTGTACAAACACAGAGTAAAAGCCTTTGTCTCTCAGGGACTGCAGTCTAACTGCAAAAAGCAGGAAAAAATACTCATAAGGGAATAAAAGGTGGGTGGTGTGTGTTGTCCAAACTCATACAGAAGATTTGTGTGGAAGCTTTGAATTGAATTCAGGTCTGCAACCTCCTTGTTTTGTTCTCTATCTTCTGGATGCATGTGCCTCTCAATATAGGTGAAAAACTGGAAGAGATTGCTTCTTTTCACTCTTATCCCAGTGGATGTTGCTTTCAGTCAAAGGCACAAGTTCTGCAGAATTCCATTTGCACAGCTGAAACAAAGTCCATTTTTCTTTTTTATTTTTTTAAACTTAATAATAGAAAATTTTATGCAGGATTGGGATTCTTTATTTATTTGTTTTAAATCCCATATGCAATTTAATTCACTAAATCTGCCTTGTTTAGGACGTTATTGTTTTGTGTTGTCCTGTGAAGCATTTTTATTCTTTCCTGATTAGTTGTGACATCTTCATTATCACTTTGATGGAACATATTTTAACTAAGCACAACTTTTGAAGACAATCTTCTAGATTCATAAACTGTGTGACTTACTAAGCTCTCCCAACATGCACATCTGATTATTTTTTTTGTCAGATTCAATATCCTATATCTAGACAGACTAATTCTTCATTCTTTCATTTCTGCAATAGCAGAAACCTAATTTAAGTCACTTATTTTGCTGATGAAAGACTATTATAAACAGAACTAATTGGTTGTTTGTTACTTTGGAAGATGTTTAGATGCAATGGACTTTTTTTTTCTGTCTGGTGCTGATAAACTGTTTTATACTAATTATATAACCACTCAAAAAAAAAAAGACAAAAAACAAACAAACCAAAAAACACCAAAAACCACCATGATTTCTTTGTTTCCTGATCTTGTTCCTTTTACTATGTATTCTGTTAAAATATATTTTCACATTCATTTGATTTCAAACTCTTTATGATCATTACATTGTCTCCTATTAAACGAGGGGAAGTTCTAAGCAAATAGTGCATCTCATTTAAGTAGATTCACTTCATATTCTATGATGCTATGATCTGCTTGTTCCCATAAAGGAAAAAAAAAATACAGGTCCCTGTAGAATCAAAGTCTCTGTGTCAATCATTTGGAAAAACATTACTGGGAGAAATGCATTTGTGTTCACTCAAATCTTATACTAGTTATTTTCAACCTGACATCAAGGACACAATAATACCTTTTGCTTTTGAATGTCTGCATTAGCAGCATGGAACTTGCCATAATTATTTCATCTAATTCATTGCTAAGACAGGAAAGCCATTTCCCTGAGTTAAATTCTCATCTACCTTGTGTATTTTCCTTTTATTTGCTGGGGAAGAAACAGAAGTATGAAAATAAATGGCTTTTCCCTGACTTTGGGGATGTCACTTTCCGTGACAGTCATTTTTACACACTGGTCTCTTAAATAGTACAGGAGCCACTCAAACAAAATTCCATTGTCTTCAGTATGACTAATGTGCATAAAACTGAGTATAATGTTTATCATATCTAGGACACAAATTTCAGAGCTGCTATTGATGGATGAGAAATGGAGGCATGCAAGCAGTCACTAATTTTCATTTTTCCTCAGTTCTTTCAGTTCTCTGCCTAGTTTGGCTTCTCATTTAAAAACCATAGATCATAAATCAGGAAAATACTTGTATATGTACCTGCTTTTAGCATATGATTTAAACCTATTGACTTCAGTTGTTCCATTAGAATGAAAATAGCCCTAAAATAAGGTATAATCTTGTTTACTTGCAAAACATCACATTTCTTTAAACACAGGGGGCAACAGCTTTATTTCAAAATCTGTGCATCTGTGGTACCCTAATCACTACAACTTGCATCTATGCTCTCAATTAGGCATACTTGCAATTTCTGCCACTGGCTTTTTCCCTCAAGCTGTAGAGGCTGCAGTCACTAACCTAGGATCCTAGCATGTACAGTCACTATACCCACTAATAATATAGTTGATCCCTCTCTATGCTGGTTATGCAGCCCTGTGCATTTGAGTTGTAGCTCCCATTTCTTGTTCTTACAGCTGGAACTGCTCCAGCTAAGCCGGAAAATGCTCATGAAACAATAGTGGTTCTCCAGCAGTAATTCTATGTCTAGACAAGACAGATATATCTAAGAGTAGGTTATGTCCAAGGCTAAGGGCTAGGGTTTAGAACAGTGGGTACTGAAGAATTATGGTTTTGACTTAATACTGTAAGACATAAAGTTGCTGAAGCCAGCAAGACAATTTTTTCCATTCCTTATTCCTCAGTTCTGAGGATAAGGTTAAGGCTAGTTATGAAATCTTGCAAGATACATACAAGAGAAAAAAAAAAAAAAAGAGGACTGGTGCTTTTGCATTGGCAAAAGCCATCTGTTCTGACATAACACTTGCTACAAGCCAAGATAAAATAAAGGTTAGACTGGAGAACCCACCAGATCCTCTGGGACAAAATTATGCCTGGTATGGTAATGAGAATGGTACTGTTGTGTATGGTACTTGTAGAGCCAGGGTTGGGATTAACACAACTAATAAGAATTGTTTTGGGTTTCTTCATGGTCCACTGAGCTAGATTGTCAGCTGTTGCCAGCAATGTACCAAAACCATACCACAGATATGTTTTGGTTCAGGGAAGGATTTTGCCTGAGCTTTGTGCTAACTTGCATTTTCTTCCACATTGCAGGTTTCAACAAGACCTAAAAGGCTACATTTAGGAGCATTAACAGAATGGGTAAATTCCTTACCAATATCATGGTAAGACACAAAACAAATCTGAGGACTATGTTATGAGTTAAGTTTTGTTAGAATTCAGCTGTGCATTGTGTATTCAAATGTATTGTGAACTTTTTGCAAAGAAGTAGGGATGAAAGCTAAAACATGAAAATGCTAAGTATGCGATTCATGTAAACTCCCATAATCCTCAGTAAATCTACTTATTTCCAACTGATTAAACATCTAAGTAAAAACAATATCAAATCTTGTTTAATATTACATATTGTTTAAAATCTTATCGACAAAACACAAGTTATAGGTAGGTCAGAATTCATGTTTCTTATGTGATTTGTAATTTTTTTTTTCATTTGTAACTCATCAACAGCATATTTCCCAAACACTATGCTATACAATTATTGGGCTTTATCTCCTGTAATGTTTTTCATGCATGCTCCAGCTCAACAAGTTTGGGGAATCTAGGCCAGGCAAAAATAGTGGTTTTATTTGCATTTAAATCACATGAATACCTGTAAGAGTTTTGCTTTTATGTTTATACTCTACCGGTTATGGGTTTATGCAGTTATGAGAAAATTCCACAAGCTTTGAGTACAAGAGCAATATTTGCTGTTCCGTAAGAGAAGTCTCGTTTTTTACAAGAAGTGCATATATGGCACATTTTTTCTTGAAGCTGCAAATTAAATAGCTCCATTAGGAAGCCAGCATCAGTCAGGAAAACATGTATCCCTTTAGTGTCAGAAAGAGCAGTTATCCTGGACAAAGCATCTCAATGATTAGGTATTACTGTTTTTGGAATTTAAAACCTAAATCACCACTTCAGATTTAAGAGAATATGGCACCACCATTTTCACTGTTACTGTTACAAGCTGGTTTTTATGTTTACATAGTTATCTAGGTTTCAGAACTGTGGTTATCTTGTTTAATTTTCTTGCATTTGCTAGAATTAGTAAGTAGGCACACCAGGTAACATTCAGTGGAAATAAATGTAAATTGATTCACATGGGAAGAGTTTCTAAGCTCATACACAAAGTGGTGGGCTCTGAGATAGCCTTTACTTTTCCAAAGCAAAATCTAGGGCTTATGATAGAGGGTTCCAAGACAATGCCTTATTAGTGCTCTTATCAATCAAAAGTATAAAAGAAACACTAAGAATTTTTAGTAACCTGACTACGACATTGTAGGCATTCATGGTACCTTTTAATACTGTAAAGCATTCTGCTCTTTCCCCCACCTCAGAAAAGATGCATTAGCAGAGGGCAACAAGAAAGAATGAAATATTAAAGAGCTACATGCTGGAAATGGCTAAACAATGCAACTGAAATCACAAGCAGTGTGGAAATGTTATACAAGTATTAATGATATGTGCAAAAACTAAGGACATAAAAAGAAACTTACAGGAATCCATTTTCTAACATTAAAGAAGTTGACTTTTTGTGTGGTGGGTGTTTCAGCGGTGGAGCCCATATTAGCGGTTATTTTGGTGCTAGAAATCTGTGTTTTGTAGGGAGATTGGTCAACTTCACAGATCAGAAATCTGTCAGTGGGCACTACAATTGTAAATGTAGTCCCTGAGCTGAAAGTGCCTGGAGGGTGGAAAAGCACTGTTGAGAAGCAGTGTCTTGCCTTCTTCTTCTTCTGCTCCTCAGACACCTGCTCTTGGTATCTGGTAGAGTTAGTCCTGGGTTTGGTCCGACTTTGTGTAGTTATGCTATTCTATGTACTAACTCAGAAAATATTTACTAGCAGTACTCCTATCAAAGGGGAAAGTTAATTGCTTGCTCTTCCTGAGGAAAATCCATGGAAACAGTGAGGCTAAAATGTAGAAATATGCCTTAACTACCTGAACTAATTTAAAGGTATCATAAGGTTGTGGCAGATGGTAAGTTAGGGAGAAGAAATGTTCTTATTTATTTTTGTTCACTGGTAGGCTCTTCTGTAGCTCCAGCAATTTAGCAACAGTGTGACTCATACCAAATTAATGAACATAACCTGTCAGCAACCTTCTGTGCCAAGTGAGAACTATCAGTGGGATATCTGCAGATCCCTGAGGTATGGCTTTACCCTGCATCACCTCCAGGTATAGGCCTAAGATCACAACTACAAGTATTGATTCACTTCCACATTCAATGAGGAAAGGGTGTAAATCATAATGCTTTTTTTGTGGACCTCACAGGTGAGGCTGGCTTCCTTCAGCTGCATAAACCTGAGGCCACAAAAAAAAAAATAATCCCAATTTTGACGTGATCTGAACTGGACAGTTCAGATACTTCTCATTTAGACTTATGAAGCTCGTTTAACTTACAGACTAGAAAGTACAAGAAAGTTTCAAGGCAGGAGGGCACAGTGATATTTAATATATATATATAAATTTATATTTTTTGTCATTGCACTGTTAGTAATTGTTATTCAGTCTTTCTCTTTGGGCTCTTTACCACAGGAAACCGATCATGTTAAATCCCCTTACACAGATCTAGAATTAACCTGAGAAGATTACAGGTGTACACGGTATGTAAGAGAGCCTAGAATGGCAGATGTCTATCTTTAAGGTGTCTAAACACTTTGATCTAAAACAAGAGGGGTTTGACAGCAACGGAGCCCGGCGCCTCCCTGTCCCTTAGAGGAAGGGTCTGGAGCCCGATGCAGCCACGGCCCCAGCGCGAGGGGACTGCTGCCTCACACCGTCCCTCGTGCCCCCTGGCCTAAGGGCCACAGGAGAGCAGGGCTCCGACGTCCTGCCCCGCTGCGCTCATACAGCGTTGAGCGGATCTGAAGCTGCTGAGGCTGCTGCCGCCTTGTTTTCTCTTTTGTGTTCGTCCCTTTCTTTCTAGTCACTGCCTCACACGTGCCCGTTACTCGTTTGGGGTTAAAGCAGGGCTGACGTGAGGGCTAGGGAGATGAATGAGTCCACAGAGGTGTTTGCTCTAGCACGGGACAGGGTGTGAGGTAAATAGGCTGCCTGAGGAGGGGTTTAATCTTCTTTTACATTTAACACACATGGGAGTCATTGCAACGAGTAAGGCTAGATGCAGATGTGATGGAACAGCAGAAAGGAGGGCTGCATGGCTTTGTGATATCTGCTGATACTGTGTGAGAGACTGTGTGAAGTCGGCTATGTTCTGTGGAGGTGGCAGTTGCCTTTGTAATTTCCATTAAACTTCTGTCCTGTTAGAAGTGTGGTATGTGGTAAGGCATAGCTTTAGATGGTATGTTCCTGTCAGCTTAGTCTGTGGAAGAGAGGAAGAAGTTGTTCTGTGGCTGGATACACAAAAGATCCTAAAATGGAAGAAGATTTAGTTCAATTTTACATGTATTTTGTCTTCCAGTGAACAATGTAGGAAAGGAAAATTGAACATTAAAAATATTGTCAAATCTTATTGAAAAATATAAAAGACTAAAATGTGACACAAAATGCTTGGGAAAGTAGAATGTCAATATATTTTAAATAAATCACTGACAAACTTATTAAATCTTTCTCTAGAATAGAACAATCTCCTTAGTACATCATGAGATCCAACAGTGACTGTCTACAGCCTTTGGATGAGTAGAAATACTGTTGGGAGTGTTGGAGTGTGTAGGTAGATCCTGGTGTTTAATGCTAAAATGTAAATGGATATGCGCGCCAATTACATTCTTGTCACAAGAATATTTCTTAAAAAGCAAAAGCAAACCAAAAAGCCAAAGCAAACCTAGAGCTGATTTAAACAGAATTATTATCTCATACATCAAAGGCTCCAAATGTAGAGTGCCCCCAGGACTTGGAAGAGAGCATAAAATGGCTGATAAGTATGTACTTTCATGTATTAGAATATTTTTGTCTATGTATCCAAATTGTGCACAAAGTGTAAGATCAAACAACTAAATAAGAGTTTAGAAGCAAAATGTTTGGTTGATTTAGACATTACTGATCTGAAAATGCAGACTTTGAACTGATTGTTTTAAACATTTGTGCTTGGCTGGGTGGGAAAATAAATGTGTGTTTCTACTAGGCATAAATTACAGAATACAGTTATGGATCACTGCGTATACAAAAGCCATTTAAAAAAAAATCATATATTATTTTTGCTGCTGTAAGCAATGTATGTGTATACAATCACTACTGACCTAAAAAACACAGAAATTTCCACTGAAGTGCCACTTCATTTACCTAAAAATAGAAAAGAAAAATGAGTAAAAAATGTGTGCAAAGAGAGATGAAGGTAGGCATTACGAGTAACTGTTGTCCTGCATAATATTTGAAGATATATTTGTAAATTAAACTGACTGAAATTTGAAGAGGACTTGTTTTTGATTTACCAATCAGAGGTTACTTTCTCACATTTGTTACAGAAAGAGGAATTATATGTAGAAAACATTACAGTATTATTTCCCAACTTTTTTTAATGTTAATAATTGATGATTTATGTGGGACTGTTTTTACCTTAGTGTTCTCTTAAGTACTTGACTCCTTGGTCAGCTAAAAATAACTTATATTGGCTTTTGGGAGAGCCAAGTCAAGAACTGAGTGGGAAGAAATTTTTATTTACTTGTTGACACTTCATGCTTGTCACCATCAAAAAGTTAAGCACACATGAAAGGATGAACAGCACGGAGGAGCTTTTTTTCTCATTATCTCTACTGTGCTTTTATGCTTATGTTTTAAGCATTATTTTTAAGGGCTTTCATTAGACTTGGAATGTGAGGTGCTCTTGTTCTGCAAGTGGGGCACAATGCCAGATTATTAGAAGGATACTAGCTGAGTATCAAATACTTGAACACATATTCCACAAAATGCAAATATATACACCTGTCACGATCCATTATTTTGATGGGTAGAGCAATCTCACTGCTTTTATCTGCTTTTCTATTCTGTTTCTATTTTTTCTTTTGCTGTTTCACCTACTTCTGTCTTCTATTTTCTGTCTTCTTTTTCTCTGTAGGCCTGATGTCCCACATCACTTTGTGCTCAGCATGTCGGGAATGGGAATTACTTCTGTCCAGCATTCACACTTTTCCCTATTTTTAGCTGGATAATATCGCTCCTGTTTAATTTAGAGCACCTGACATTAACAGCATACTGGAAGAACTGCTCCCCTTGTAATGTCTTAAACTCAACTTTCTTCCGTTGTTCCCAAGAAGTGTTCATAATTACTTCAGTCCCTTCTGATATGAGAACTATATATATCTGCAAGAAAAGTGAAACCTTCTGCATTATATGGGAACTTTAGAACTGGAATAATTTGAAATGCAGGTGCTTTGTTAAGAAACATTGAAGGCACAATGTGCTTCCTGGGAGGTCACTCTAACTCTCAACAGGTGTCTAAGGAGTAACACAGCAATAAGAACCGGTGAAAAATAGAAAAGTAGCAAACAGAAGGGGAGAGGACAGCAGACAAGATTAACTGTGAAATGATTGGTAAGATCTTTTGCCTAGTGAGAAAATGAGAGAGAGAAAAAAAATTCCTTGCTGTTTTAGATGTTCAGCATTTAGGTGCCTAACCTGATCCTCTGTAAATAAATTTGATGTTCAGACAGCTAGAACATCAGTGGTCCTTTAATGTCTAATTCCTTTGAGATGTTTGAATCTGGGTGGCCAGAAAGCTAACGCAACAGAAGCCATTAGTCATTTGAAAATACTAGAATCACTGTTTTGAAATCAACAGCAGTACTAGTCTATGGTGATGCTGAATATGAATGAATGGCCATCCATTTATTTTTTCTCTGACTTAATCCATGCTCTAACAGGTCCATTTAAAAATGAAGTCACAGATTTAAACCAAGATTTGATTTGTAGCATTGCTTCCAATGAAACCACATGGACATAGGTATTCTAACGAACTGAGCACTAATAACTTTCTTTGGACAGGAGTAAATAGACTTCACTTAGACTTGAAATAAGTAGATCTGTAAGTGACAAATAATGATTTCTGTCTCATTCATATCCTCTATAACCTTCTCTCCATACTATCTGGATTAATGCCAGGTTGTATCAGTACTTCTGTCTTCTTTTGTGTATGTATCTATTCACGAGGCAAAAAGACAGCAGGTACAGTGACTCAGAATTTGGTACGTTCCTAAGTCAGCTATCATACTGGCACTGAAAGGGCAGCTCTCTGCTGCCAGGGAGATGAAAAAAGCAAATTGACTCCCATTTTTTCACTCAGAAAGTTGCTTTCTAATCAGTTAATTTGCCTTCACCCAATTAACCAATTTTTCTGTAATTTGTAAGAAGTTTCATTCTGAAGACCTTACCCTTCTCATGAAAATTTTGAAATTAGCTCATGGGTGTAAAATTTACCTTGGAGGGGAACACCAACAACGTGTTCTATAAATCTCATGTCTTTAAGCAGTAGACTAAAGATAGAGTCAGGTCCATATTTAAAAAATAATATTCTCAAATAACTGACATCAATAAATTAATTTTTAGTTGAAGTGGTGTTTTTAATACCCATGGGTACATAAAGATCCATCAAAAATACAACATTTGAATCACCTCTGATTCCTAAGAGCCCTTTATTTGTAAGAATATTTGTAAAGGAGGGATATTAAATGGTGCAGAGTGAGGCTATTTTCTGCTGCTGTCTCAGAAAATTTGAGTTAATTTACTTTTACACCTTTCTTTTTTTTTTTGTTGTATAGTAATAGTAAGGTTTAAAAATGTAAAATATGTGTATTGTCAAAGGTTTAATTTTGTGGTGATAGCTTGTTTCAGAAGAATCTATGTAAATATAACTGAAGAAAAAATCAATTGAAGGATGAATTCAGTGCAAAACGTGGTAGGGCTGTCCTCTTATTTATTCTGATCTTGCATTAATTCATTTTAAATGTATTTTATTTCCTTTTTATTGAGGTAATATACAGTATTGATATGTGCATTAATGTTTTCATTACATTGGGATGCTTCTTTGTCTTACCAGAAAAGGACAAGCTCCACAAAAATAACGCCACATCATATTAATTTGGGGACACTATCAATTTTCTACACGTCTTCTGCCTCACAGTATTTAGAGAAATCAATCACATAACCAATTTTGCTTAAAGAGCTGCTCTGATGTATGTTGCTTGAGATGGGATGCTCGACATAAGGCTAAGCTAGTGTTTGTGCTACTTTGCTTTTCTCTTTGCCTCAAGTCACACAGGTATACTTTACAAAAATTAAAAAAAAAAGTTATATTTTCTTACATAATTTTGAAGAATTTAATAATGTGCTAATAAAGTACCATTTGAAGAGTACCCTGTAAGAACTACAGTGTACTGCTCAGAGAGCTAAGAGATAGGCACATTGATCATCAATAACTAGTTTTAAGTGAGTCATTAAGCCTCCAATTTTTTATTTATTTATTTTTTTTCTTATATATGGAATATTTAAAAATAGATTTTCGGTAAGTAAGGCATCTCTTCAGGGTAGGGAATCCCCAGGATGCTTAATGCTTTTGAACTTCCTATTTCTCTCCACCCTGCTTTTATGACACCGTAAAAAAGGTATCTCACTGCTGAGACAGCTTTCAGTACACCATAGAGAATAATTTTTAGACTACTGTGAGATTACTTAAATTATGCTGGGAACAAAACTAGCACAAACCTACTTGGGTGACAGAGAGTAGTTATGGATATTTCCATTTTGCTGTACCTTTACTTGTGTCTAGTACTCACAGGGTGAAAGAATTAAGCACTGTGTCTGTCAACTGCATCTAGATACAATCCTATTGTATTCCTTTGTTGTTATTTGTTATATGTAAGTGTCATTTAGTCCAGGAACTATACAGGAAAAAAAATAGAGGTCAGAAAAAGAGGTCATTGTTACTGATCTTCTTTCCTTAGACTTTTCTCTGAACTTGCTCTGTCATCTTAAATACATTTGGACAGCAGCATTAAAAAAAATAATAATAAAAAAAACAGTTGATTAGTATGACACAAGTGTGAAATGTGCATGATACTCATTTAAAGGAAACAGTTAATTGTGTATCTGGAAAACTACACATTTTCGTCTGCCCTGAGTATAATAGGTTATGAAATTACAGAGAGAGGGAAGAAGCCTCTAATTGTACAACAATGTAGCACACTAATAGATCAAAGTATTTCTACAGAGTAGTTCAATATCAATGCCATTTGCCTACAGATAAAAATGAAAGATGATAGGAAAATCAATCAGGACATTGATTTTTCACCATTAAAAAACTCTGGAAAGGAGGAATATTGAATTAGATCATCATTTAAAGAATCATTTGATTCCACTTGTTTCTCAAGAGCATGCAGTTTTTCAGTCTAGTTTGAGCCCTCCTTCCTTGACTTAGTGACTGATGGATTTTTTTTTATTTTTTTTTCTCCTGTAGAGGACCTCTGTAGGCAAAACTCTTCAATGTGCTGTAACAAATTTTAGTTTTTAGGTTTGTGACTTTGTGATACCGAGATGTGCCTCAAGTATGTGTTTCAGTACTTTGTCCATCTGTAGCCTAAATACATGTATTTATTTTCTGATGCAAACATGCATTTAGTATAGTGGCTGACTGTTTGACATGGGAAGCTTGAGATGATGATTTCTGAGTTCTGCCTCTGTCACCTACGATAATTTTAGTTCTGTAGTGAGTACAGTCTTGACACAAAAGTGTTGAATTAAAGGATTAAAGGTAGCCTTACGAGCTATCACAAGCCTTGGTAATTTGTGTTTGATATGTAATAAAAGTATTCTAATCACACAGATTAATTGAAAAAAAAAATAGGCATACTGAAATAGTTTACTTGAAGAATATCCTTCAGTTACTCTGCATCGTAAGCATTCTTAAGTTTCTGAATGCTGAACATAAATCCTGAATCAACGATGTAAAATGCAGGAGGGAGAGACTCGATGGTTAAATCAGAAGAGGAAAGATGGACCTTACATTCACAAGGAATGTAAGGCTTTGCTTTCAGACACAAGTTCTTCCATTTAAAATGGCTTGCTTAATGCAACACAAGAAAATTCACTTCCTTCCGCTATGTGTTCCTCCCTGCTGTGGTCTCATTGTTGGCTTAGAGGAAGGCTTATACTGGTAGTATTTCTTTCTCTTTTACAAAATGATTGATCCACATTGGTGTAAGCTTCTCCTGGGAGACCTACATACATACTAGAGTCTTTGTTTCTGTGTATTTATTAAAAGCATAACTACAGAAATAATAACATTTATACCAAAATATATAGAACTGGCTTTATGAAGTTCTTCACCCATATATCATTATCAGAACTATTTTACATGTATTTTTTAACATTGTCCTTAATTGAGTGAGCCACTCTTTTGTCATCCTTTTTTTACCTTTTT